ACACACTTCACATAATCAATCGCTACACACACATTGAGGTCTATTTTGTTGGATCAGTTCAGAAAGCAAGGACAATTTGCCCATACATTCAAAAACTAGTCATGAAGGTTGTCAGTGACAGTGCTGGTTCTCTCAGTGTTGAACACAATCATGTCAATGCATTCTCTTGTCCTAAAGATAAGAGCTGTTACTGTGTTATAGAGGAAGACTTTGAAGTTAATTGTACATCATGTGATGAGTCAGCTGATATACAACTAAGTGATGCTATTGCTAGCTACTGGTGCTGGTTTGATTTAGACTGTGGCCCTAAAGTAGTAACCTCAGGTACTGTAAGTCATACAGATTAATAGCTAGCATGTATGTACATGCACCAGTATATGCATGCAGGTTTGAAATAACAATTTTATGTGTTATGTATACTTGGATACATGTATCTAAGGGCTGGGCAATTATTTATCATGAAAGGCAATAATTGTGAGTAATTGTCAATTATTGTTTCATAATTGATTCATGATACATGACATTGCTTGTACTGGTCATAATATACAGTACTTAAATTTGAACTAAACTGTTCAATTTAAATACAAACAGAAATTGTTTGATAATCATGATTATTGCACTCATAATCATTTTGATAATTTTACATGAATGTAAATTGTCATATTTGTCCATTTATAGACTCAGAATATTCACAAACACTCAATATAAGTTGTTTGGATCAGATCTTAACTGATATGAAAGAGGGTCATTTTCGAAATTGCAGTTGGTTTGATCTAGGACTGAAACTGGGCTTATATGATACAACTCTGAGTGATATAGAATCAAATTCTACTGAAGTAGAAGAATGCCTAAGAAAATGTATTGCTAAATGGTTAGAAGGAGCAGATGGGGTAAATGCTAAAGGAAGACCAAGCTGGACCACACTGGTTAAAGCTCTTGAACAATGTGATAAAAGGTCAACAGCTGATCACATCAGTAAGTACATGTACATGTACTGTATACTACATGTATATCTGTACATTGTAGCCGTGCAATATTTAATTATATTCCACTGTTGTTTATAGGGTGTAAGAGATTAACAAGAGCTGCTCATCAATAGAGAATAGCTTTAGTTGTGTAACTTGTGCTTAATTACAGTAAAATTTTTTAGTTGATAGTATGATTATGGTAAAATTTTAAATGTATCCTTAATTTATGAATTATTTTGTAAAATTTTTATTGTTATTTTTGAGTCAATACTCTGCTGTAAATATGTGTTTTGTTATTCAAAATAATTCTTTATGCTTTGATAATACAATGATAATGATTAGGAGGTGTGGTTACTGAGTGCACTAGGTGTGGTTTATAATAAAATGGCTGCCAGAGGAATAACTTGTAAAGTTCTCTGGGACAGTAAAGGGAGCCTGTTAGTAGAGTTTGATAACGTTACTGTATTGAGTAAGGTCAGTGGTATACATACCGTATATATTGTTATTAATAGTCCCTGTATAGTTTATAGGGACACCTCCTCTCATTAATTCATATATTAATATAACACAATACAACAGGATAGACTGTACTGATGTATCAAGTAAGTATTGTACTTTATACCCTGCACCTCCTAATATTAGACCGGGGGGGGGGGATTTTGGATTAATTTTTTGATGATTGACTGGTTTTAATTTGATGAATTTGTGTCTATGTGCCATTGAGCATGTACATAATGATTCAAAATGGTGTGTTTAGTAAATGGCTGTCAAAACGCCTAATTTTCCCGTTCCAAAATTACCTGGATGGCACCTTGAATATTTGTTATTAATTTGTTACTTTATTTTATTTATTTATTAGATGGTTTCTATCTTGAAGTGTTAAAGTATTCACCATTATTTATTAATAAGGAGGAGGAGACAAACATCACTGATAATAATAATAATAGACAAAAGTAAGACCAATTATTATTTATTATTATTTATTTATTTATTTATTGTTGTTTATTGTTGTTGTTTATAGTTTGGTTACAGTC